CGTTACGGACTGTAGCGTTATTTGTGCTTCTTGCACTTCTATTTCCTGAAAGTCGACGGGGTCAGTTGGATTGAATTTCTGGTATATGCCGAGAAGTTTATAGCCATACATTACTTCACAGGGGGTCTTTCCATGTGCACTATGCTGGGTGGTATTGTAAGAAAAAATGAATTTTAGTAAATGATCTTTCCAGTTTACATTTTGTAGGCGCAGGTCTTCATTCCACAATATTTTAATAAATCCGCGCCCAACTGTCTGATTTAAACATTTGATTTGGCCTTGTGACATTGGATGTTTCAGGCGTCCGTGCCTAATCGTTATTCCAAGAGCTTCGCAAATTCGTTTGACAACATTCGTGGTAAATTCTTTCCCGTTATCAGATTGTAGAATTGCCAGCACGCCCCATTGTGCAAATAAAGATATTAAAGCTTCACCTACTATATCGGCTTCTTTTGTTATAAGTGGGATAACCCACAAAAACTTTGAAAAGATACAAACCACAGTAAGGAGCCAGAAAAATCCGTCGTTCATTTCCTTGTATGCTGTAAAATCGATGAGGTCCATTTGAAGGTGTTCCATCAGACTGTAATTTATAACCGGCGTTAGGTCATCCTTCTCTTTAATCGAGGTAACTCGATTACATGTGTTGCAATTTCGAATGTATTCACAAACTTCTTTTTTTGTGATACCAATATGTTGCACCATGATTTTCTTGTGACAATCGTTCGCATTAATATGGCAATCATTATTGTAAAATTGGTTAAACAAGGATTGATAAAACTCCAAGTCCTACGCAGGAACGAAATGACAAAGCGGTTGATCCTTAATTTGAACATAAAGATGTCCGTTTTCTAGATGCCACAGTTTCATTTTGCATTTAAAGTTCCATCGGTTTTTGGGTTTTTTTGACGTAGTTATAATCCCACTACGAAGAAAAGTGACAATATCTTAATACGCTTCAGGTGTTTGGGGAAATCGGCTTCATAAACCATTTTGTTTTTTTTTCAAATTTTTTTTCTTTTTTTTTTCGTCATATTTATAATCACGAAATTGCATCATTAAACGTAACGAATATATCACTAAAAAAAAGCGTAATAATGATGAGAATATGGGCTCGTTGAGCCTTATTGTATAGATCATGTAAGTGCAGGTACAAACATTTAATGTCCTTCGTTTTGTCGCATTGTAAAATGTGAAGTAACAATTATGTGAAGGGAAATATCAGTCTTTTTATTTAAAAAAAAGGTTAGAGATAAGCCAAAATTATCTCTTCTGCAAGACAATTGTAATGACTTATCAGGCCGTTCTATACATCTACATTTGTATCGTTCTATACACCTATATTTGGATGATGTACCAAGATAACTCCCATTGTTTGTGATGTATGTAAAACAATTTTATTAGTCATATAGATATGCATAAATTCAAGCAGAACAGAACATCATACATGTTGAAATACATACGTACCAATTATATAATCCAT